TTAGGCAAAATATATAAGGAGCTTCTCTCAGCAAAATCAGTTCAATAATCTGAAGCCCTGTTGATTGGTGATTTATGGTTTTCATTTGTGCTTACATTGCAATTATTGACAGACAAAAGGTGTCAAAGGATTGTAAGTGCTTTAATAAAACTGCCTTCTTAGAGAAATGTTAGTCTTCCTTTCAAGTGGAAATTAATCATAGTTTTTTTGCTTGTCAGCACTTTCCTTTGATGTTGGCTAATCTGACTGAAGAGTTTTGAATAAAGTATTTTGCAGACTTTTGTTGAAGCTACATAGTTGCAAATACTTCCCGAGAAGCCTTTTCAGGTTGTAGGGAGTTGTTCACTGTAAGAAAAACAAACAAAAAGAAACTTTAAGAGGATTGCAGCTTTATTGTCTTGTATATATGTTTTGTAAACGCGGCACCTCCTTCAAAAGTTGTTGACAAGACCCGCTGCTTGCCGTTATTATTGTCAATATCAAATTAAAACAAATCTCTTTTCGCTTATTGCTTTCTTACTCCATGAATTATTCAGACAGGTGTCTTTATCTTAATTGTTTATATTTATTTTTATTTATCCTATTTACATTGTTTGGACTGTTGGCCTCATCTTTATTGTCACATTCATGTACACTCCGGCTTTCTTCAGGTAATATTTATTGGAATTTAGAACCGAGCTCTTCATTTAGTCCATTGGGGTGGATTGTTCTAATTCCACATACCACACCTTTGGATATCTCACTTTTAGTTAATTCATCTTGTTAATTCTCCAAGTTTTTGTTCTTTTCACTGAGGCCAGGGATTGAACTCACAACTGTTTGGGTCAAGTTATTTTTTGGATCAGTCAACCAAGGCTTTTTATCTACTGGGTCAAGTTAATGATTGAATAAGCAAGTTCTACGACAATAAAGTATCTGTAGAAATTCTCCTATCACATCATTAAATATTTGAGCTTAACAACTTTAACAAAATATTGCAATAGCAATCATAAATATGAATGCTGATTGTTATTTAAAAAGTAAGAGGGCACAAACAAAAAGCTTTTAAATTGACAATTTTTTTTTTTTTCATTTCACTGAAACAGACATTAAACACTTCTATCTTACCTTCTTTCTTTCTTTCATTTTCTCACTGAAGCTAAGTAACGTCTCTGATCCATCTTTTCCAACTTTAATGGAATAGTCTATTTTATGAGTTATTAGCAGGAGATGTTAAATACTCTCTTCTCTTCTGTCTTTTATTTCAGTTTCTCACTGAACCCAAGTAGTGTCCCTGATATATCTTTTTCATCTTTCCAACTAATCAAAATGGAATTATCTATTTTATGAGGTATTGTCAGGAGATGTTAAACACTTATCTCTTCTTTCTTTTATTCCATTTTCTCACTGAAACCAAGTAGTGTCCCTGATCTTTCTTTTCCATCTTTCCAAACAATCATATTATTTATGTGATATTGGTAGGGCATAACTTATGTAAGTTCTAACTAAAGATGTGACAAGTAGAATTATAATAAAATAAGTCAGATACAAAATTTTAAAGCCTTCACGTTTTCACATATTTTACAAATAAATATGGTAAATTTTAGAGAATTTAGGGTCTTCAATAGAATTTTTTATGTGATTTTTTTTTCCCAAAGCTATAAATCACAAGAACTTTAAGATTTTCACTTATTGGTTTTAAATTTACTATTTTAATACAATCCATTCCATTGTTAATCAGATTTAATTATTCAAATGTAACGTCTCTTAAATAAGTTGGTGCCATTCCAAGTTCAGAATGAGAAAGTTTGAAAGTTCTTCGAAAAGCCTCAATCAAGATAGATTTGAGCAGACCAAGAAAGACGAATATATACAGAGAGCAGAGGTGGGTTAGGCAGTGGAGTAGGTTATCAAGATTGACCCAAGAGCCAGAAGATTTGAACAGCCTGAAAATCATTCTGACATCTGACATATGAGTGGGCTACATGTATCATATCACTGGACATAAATTTCCGAGGCAAACAATATAGAATCACTTGATAGAAATAACTGACAACCTTATCAAGTTTGGCATTTCATCACTAATAGGATTTTACAATTGCTCACATACTTTTACAAAGCGTTCTTGCTTTCCATTATGCTCTGCCATGTCCTTCGGTGTCTTCGAAATAAAGTCTACTGTCTAGCACTTTTTCTTTTATTCATCAGCGCCATCGTGGCAGAACAAGCTGCCACTTACCACTTACCTATTACACTTCCTCATCAATACCATCTTGTAACATGTCCTTCTCTTCACTTGGTTGCCATGTTTGTGTAATATAACCTTTCTTGGCCTACTCACAGGTTCAGCTTTCTTTCTTCATCTGCTGAAATTCTTCAGAACCAAAGTTCTGACTTCTGGCAGAAGCAGAATAAATAAAAGCAGGTATGTCATGAAGACTACAGACTTCTGACATTACCACTTGGAACTGATCTTCTGTCTGATGCCATTGTGTAAGTGATTAAATTCACTCAAGTGGTTTGCTTATTGAGTTCATCTCTTTTGTTTTTGTTATCTCCCTTGTTATATGATAATTCTCCTTTGCATAAAGGTCAACTTTGAGTTATCAAATGTAATAGTTCTTTTGTTTGTTTTTCTTAATCATATCACCTCATTCAAGTCAGTAAAGGCACTAAGGCATAAGTGTTTACCGAGTGTAGAAGAACGAGAAAAAAAAGAGAAACATTAGAAGTGAGAGGATAGAAGAGTAATCAAAACAATAGATAATGATTGACATTGCATTTAAATTTTTGAAGGCAACAGTTGGCTGGAAAGTATGGAGACAGAAGAGAGTTCTACAAATGAAGACTTATGGCTATATTGAGCCAATTCCACTGTAAATTAATGAGACCTTGCCACCAATCTAGTACTGAGCTTAAATTTATAAAGTATAGGTGACATAGTGAAGAGTTCATCTAAACATTTACCATGAAAGAGAAGCCACATTAAATTTACATGAGATGCACTGGGCCAGATGTTGCAGCAATATTCAAAGTAAGTATGAATGGTAGATATAAATATGCAAGATAGATTCTGGTGGGAAAAATTGTCTAGCACAATGCAATGAACTGACTTTCTTAGCAGCATATCTAGCAATGGATTTGATATATAGACTTTCCACTTCATATCAGCTGAGAATGTTAGATTGAAAAAGCACAATGAGTGAATCACATGGAGGTTAGCATCAGCCATGCTGATGGGAGACAGGATGTCTTTCAGGTGATTAATAGAGAGCAGTTTCATTTTGGAAGCATTAAAATTAACAAGCCATTACTTGCCCTGTTAACAACAAACTGTAAGTCATTTTGCAGATCACGTGCCAATTTCCCTTTATTGAACTTATCAGACATATTGATACACACTTATTTTTTTTAAATAGCTTAAGTTGTATTTGAAAGATTTTTATTGAACAAAAACTAAACATGATATTGTAAAAAGTTTATTTTAATCAAAATACAAAAGCTCAAAACATCAAGATAAGAAAATACAGTAAATAAAAAAAAAAGAAGTTTACTGATATTTAGTTTGGTTCAAAACCTTGAAAATCTTCATTGTTTTCACTATTGCGGGGAGAGAAATTAGACATTGAAACCAATATTATAATCAAAGAGAATGTCCTCCTCTATTGCATCCAGTGTGTTACTGATACCTCACTACATAAATAACTATAGCACTTACTAGCAGCATGGCCCGGTGTTGCCCGTGCTTGATTCAAAAATCGTACGACTCATACAGCAATCGCTATCACTTGACTTAAAATATTTTTGCCCTTCCTTGCCTTTAAAGGAGTGCCCTTTGCTGTGCTGATGTTGCTACATGCCTTACTTCTTGCCTATCTAACACTGCGAATTTTTTCTAAGCTCTATACTAAACATTAAATCTGTTATGAATAAAGAACTAAACAAAATGAATAAAGAACGATCAGCTTTAAAAAAGGACTTGTAACTGGAAAAACCGAATGAAAAAAAGAATGTTAACAAGAAATACTTTTTCACACCCAACCCAGTTCTGCAGAATCAGAATCAACGTTGAGTTTAAGCAACCGAATGAGCCAACTGGAGTAAAGTGCCATGCAGATTTAAATTTTTCCCACTTGTGACAAATGCAGCTATCGATTTTTTGCATGCTAGCATGCTAGTTAACATTCGTGTCAGTCAGCTGTTGGCTCTCACGCTGGCCAATAGAATTTTCCTGCCTATTCGTGGCAGCCAGCTATAGGCTCTCACTCTGGCCAGTAGAAAATGGCCTCAAACTACATGAAAACTGCCGTAGAAGCATGAAAAACATCAATTATTTCCACTATCGATGGGAGTTGGGAAATGCAAAATCAGTCTTGGCCTTCCCGCTAACTTGGAGCATGTGCATGTAAATTTTGGTGCAAATCTGTCGAAAATTGCAGCCGTGCATTTGTTACACCCACACACATCCATGCAAACTTCAGCAAGCATCTCTCAGTTCCTTTATTTCATAAGGATTGTAGCAAAATGGGTTAAAGTGTTTGTGAATAAAAACATCGAGTGATCGCAGTTGACTTGCAAAACCACCAGGTATAACAGCATTTGTCTTTTTTTAAATACTTATACATGGATTGTATACATCAAACACACACAATATACCACATAACACCCTTGGATTGGGTAGAATGGAGATCAACATGTTTTTCAATCTGCTTGTCTGAATCATCTTCAAGAAGCGAGAGCAAGATCTAAAAGGTCAACCAATCTAACAGTGATCTCATCTCACAATCTTCACACTTGCTCCATATGTGGCCTCCTTTGTAACTCACTAGCAGTTCTTAAATGCCATTTAAGATTATCGCACAAACTTTCATAATTGAATCAATAAGCTGTCAGATCCTCATACATCGAAACCGACAGGAGAGTCCATTTTACATATATATATATATATATATATATTTATTATATACTATATATTACTTATACCTTTGATTTATAGGATGCAAGCAGATTTTGAGGTCTCAGGCCATATGATGTTGAAACTCTGGTTCTCATATAATCACCAAAGTTAAGCAATGTCAACCTTGGTCAGTACTAAGATGGGTGACTGTTTAGGAAAACCAGGTGCTGTAAGCTTGATTGCAAAATGTGTAGGTGATGTAATGGATGAAAAATTGAAGATCTGTGTTCAAATTCCAGTTGAGTTTTTTTCTATTCTATCTTGCTGGGATGGGGGATAAAGGTAATTGTACAGTAAGGCTAGGGGAGTGTTTAGATGCTGGGGGTGCAAACAGTTTGAACATTTGAAAGATTGAGATGATTATTAATCGTATGTTATTATTAATATGTTTGTAGAATCAATACAATATGCTTTGTGTGCACATTTTGTTTTTCCGTGACTGTATACCTATTTTTGCATACCACCTGTACACATCACTCTTGAGAAAAGTATGAATCTACCTCTTGTCTCCCCAGATATGGGTCAGTTAGTAGGATGTATCAGTAAATCATTATTTCCAAAAAATAATTCTTAAAATTTAAAAAAATATTTTCTAGCTTTAAATAACCTGTAAAACATTGATAAGCTGTAAAATATTTTCTGGCATTAAATAACCTTCAAAAGGTTGATAAGCTGTAAATAAAAAAGATACGAATCAAGCAGATTTTGAGGTAAATATGGTGTATCTTATATATGGAAACATACAATAAGTGTTTCTGAAATCTGTCATGTTTTTTGTTTTCCTTTTTATAAAATTAATTTGGTTCAATAACTGTTCATGATGACTCACTTGCTGGAAATGCATTTTTTTTAAAAAATTGAAAATTTAGATAATAAAATATCAAAGCCTGTCTTGTTCTAAATATAATAGAATTATTAAATGTATTTCCAGTTAAACTGTATTAATCATTTTTTAATTTTTTAACTACAAATAAAAATTGGAGTGTGTTTTAGAACAAAAATGGCCAGCAACTAGAATTTCATTTGTTTATTCTCATTTTTGACATTTTCCTCAAAACCTTTCAAAAGCATCAGTGACCCACTATTTGTGTTTGAGATTAAAGCTGGCCTTGGGCAACATTTTTCCACTCATAGCCTATTGAAGAAAGTGCTAAAATTGTCAGACTACATTTTCATATTGTTAATGAAAAACTGTTACTATTAATAGAAATGAGTACAAAGTTTGTATTTAGAAGTTCAACAACAAAATTTTAATCATTGTACTGTTTCTAAAGACAGTGCAGTTTGTGGATTTCAGAAGAATATTTGCTACCTCTCTGAATTCTTACACTGAAGATCCAAACTTGTTGCAGCACGATTGAAAATCACTGACTTTGGAAATATCTGACATGAAGAATCTAATAAAGAACAATCAAAAAAATATATCCATGTCTGTCTTGTCTTAGATCTGCTAGACAATAAGATTGTTAAATCTGTTTAGATTGAGAAAACTACTTTCAAATGATCAAATTGCAAATATATATTGGAAAAAAATAATGGCTAAACTTGGCCTCCAGAAGTTTGGTGGCAAGGAACTTAATCAATGGGAATTTTATTGACGTAAAATATTTGAGAGCATAGGTTTTTTTTTTCTTTGACATATATTTTGTAGGAAGATAACTGTACCATCTTTGTAAATGACAGATTATTTTTACTCATGTCTTCATTCTTCTGAGCTCTACACTAAAAATTGAAACTACTGATCACCTTATATTGGGATGCTCAATACCCACACCTAATAAGCAGTAGCAGACCTAAACATCCTGGGTAAGATGACAAACTATGTCCAACAACAAAGCTACTGATCAGGAGGTTTTGAGGAACGTGGAACCACCTCTTAATGTGTGTTCTCAAGTCTACCCTGACCCAAGGTGGTAGCATGTGTCAGGGTCCTAGCTATGGGTAAAAACTGTAGTCAAAGCACTATGAAAGTGTAAAAATAGTTTTAATACCAGAAATACTCTGTAAAAAAAATTTACCAGCAATAAATTTTTGAAGTAAAAATTATTACCAGCAATACATTATTACAAGCAACACAATTTTGAAAAAAAAAATTCATTACCAGCTATATATTTTTGGAAAAAAAATATTACCAGCAATACATTTTTGAAGAAAAAATATTACCAGAAATAGATTTTTGAAGGAAAGAAATATTACCAGCAATACATTTAAAAAAAAAATATTACCAGCAATAAAAATCTAGTCGGCATTAAATAACCCATTGAGGTTGATATGCCATAAACCAAACGAAACCAGAGCTAAATTTTTGGAGCTGTGAAGATTGAACAGATATGGGGGCTCTCTTTGCAACCAGAAACAATAGCTTCATAGATGCAACTGCCAAAATGTAGGCTATGAATAGATTCTGATAAGCCAAACAAGCCTATACAGCTGATGGCTTGAGTGTTGCAAGCCTCCAAGAAAATTTTGAAATTTGACCAATTGCAGATGAATTTTGAGGCCATATGAAATGGCTATTAGATCATATTCTAAGGCCAATATTAGCTACTTCAGCTTATTGGTTTATGATTCTATCACTAAAATAACCTTATTTTGATTTTAAAAAATAACAGTTAACAAATAAAAAATATTGATTTTGTTAAAAATTCACTCAATTAAAAAAAGAAAGTTGCTTCAGAAGCCCCTCTGTGATTAGGGAAACTGAAGGTTAAGCTTCATTAGTTTCATAGTAGATCCACCCCTGCTAATGAGTACAAAACCTGTTATGACAGGATAGATCAGTATCTGCATTTGAAGATCTGTCATTACTACGGGATAAAAACAACTGTAATCTGGTATGAACACCATGCTGAATTTGTAGCTGAAGGAGCAGATGTTATCATCTGACAGGATTTTTCTATCTATACAGAACAAAAGTACTCAGATATTGGACACTGTATATTTAACCCTTTAGTATTCAACTTGCCTAAACTCATCCCGTGAATATCTGCTCTCAACCTGCCATAATCTGCTCCATGTATACTCTACCATGATATCATCGCAGATAATATGGAAATGTTATACAAACAATGAGACTTTGAACACAAATGGTGAAACTTTGAGATCTCGTATTTGCTGGGTAGGCATGAGCATGTTGAATGCTAAAGAGGTGAAGACATACCAGAAACCAGGAAAATGGTACATAATATAGAAAAAATAAACTAAAAAATCTTTAATAAATGACTTCTGTTGGTCTTTAAGCAAATTTGTATAAATAAATACTGCTACTCATATATGCGTGTGTGTGTGTGGATATAGAAATCAACATTACAAGATGAATAACAGTTTCATGTTAAATGATTATCTGTGTTCATTATAAAATTCTAAGCATTGTTTGTTGCTTTCTCCACCAGATATATAAAAATATATATCTCACAAAATGAAATTAAGATTTGTAAATGTCTTCCAAGTTTTTTTTTTCCGACCTTGTGATACAGGATTGTATTGGATGAGGTAAGTGTTGGTCAGCAGTTTGTAGCAAGATGAATTGAAAAGTTTCAAAATAAATGAATTTCAACACACAGAGGAGATTTACATAAATTAATATAATATATATATATATATATATTTATATATATATATATATATATATATATATATATATGAAGTGATGTAGCAGCCCCTTTTCTTTCTGGAAAAACAAAGCATCAAAGGGAAGGAGCTGGTGCCTATTCGGCTTCTTATCTATACAAAAGGTTTGAGTGAAGCCAACTGAGATGAACTGTGTGCAAATATTAAAGAAAGTTGGCAGCATGCTGTTCCTCTCAGTGATAGCTTTACCAGCCACTGTGACTTTAACACATGTAGCAAAGCAGGCCTTGCTGTTCCTCAACCACTCAAGAAAAATGGCTCAACCATCTGCCTAAAAGTTTGCAAAACACCTGCAGGCCTTGGGAAACACATGTGTGTCCATAAATGTTGAGTACCTTTTTATTTTAGAGATCTCTCATTTGTTGTCTGCAACGAGAGAGTCCACTATATATATATATATATATATATATATATATATATATATTTTCTCCTGTAGGAAGACCAGGCATATCTGCTACCTTCCGCATCCTGTTTCTGAGTGAGAGAAAAAAAGAGGAAGAGGGTCCATGTCCATTCCTTTCCTAGTCCTGAATAGAATCACAGCTAGTGGGTGTTCTGGCAGAGTAGATATTGTTATCTCCACAAACCGACAATGTATCTAAATTGTTGGTTTATGTTGATTGCACTCTGAGCTACAAGAGAAAGCACTCATGCAGTTATTCTTGTCGCAGATACATACACACACATTATATATATATATATATGGCCTTATCATCTTTTATACTAAAAGTGTACAAGAGAAAACAGCATAAATAAATGTGGACACTATATTCAAATTTGGGAAGCGAGAGAATGGCTGAAACTGTGATATAAAAAAAATGACAGATAATATCCAAAAACCTTCTACATAATTTCATTCTAACTATTCATCACTTTTTAAAAATATATCTTAAATAAATAAGATGTATATTCCAAGCACATATTTATATATGAGGTGTGCCAGTTATCTGAAAATACATGTTTCTTGAGGCATATACGTAAGACGACTTTTAAATCTGAAATTGGTCAAATGCATCTGCAAGTTTTATACACTTATAGTCAAAGTGCATTTGACTGTGTCCAAAATTAGCACTGTTTGTCAGTGCACAATATTAACACCTGTCACAGGATCAAACATAGGCATCGGAATTCTACAACTCTATAAAAGTTATGGATTTCCAAAACTATATATTTTAACCAGTATTAACAAGGAGGCTAAATTTGGTATCATTTGAAAGAGAAATCAGTTCATTTTTTTATGTTTGTTTATTTAATGGCATATCAATTTCCTAAGGGTCATTTAATACCAAAATTTAATTTTTCTTTAAGAGGTGGTTCCATGCTCCTCAAAACCTCCTGATCAGAGGCCTAGATAATTGGATCTGGTTTATCATAGTATAAAAACAATTTATAATCCTTGATTTTCTGTGGTTTTTGAGAGATATTAATTTAATTGCACTAACATCATATGAAGATAAACTGACTAACATTTAAACTTTGTTCATGCAATTTAACTACTGCCCATAGATGATATTTGACCATTTCTTTTATAGTCAAGTAGTTCA